GTCCAGCGCCATTCGCGACAAGCACGGGTATCGTCGTCTGCGCTCATGTCAATACGTTATCGGATCTCTTACGTCGCTGTCCCTGTCCTCCCTCGACGACTGCCATAGTTCCAGTTCATCAACATCCTCGTCTACCCGCGCTGGCGAGGACGATTCCTCTTTCACCATACCGCATCCGGAGACGGGCCGGGTGCGTTCACAATACGCCTGAAAAGGGTTGTAGTACTTCCGCTGCCGCTTAGTTACCGGCTCGTGAACCACGGGACCTGAGATCACCTGCAGGTTGCGATATTCCGTTTCCCATACTTCTCGAACCATTTGCTTCGCCTTCGTCACCCATTTCGTATTGTCCTTCCACTCGTTCTCAAAATATCCCCATCGGAAAGCCGGATGCAGGGCCAAAGCTGTATAATAGATTGGTGTCTCGTCCAACGCGCAGTAATATTTTTCTAGCTTCTCCCATCCCAAGTTGATTTTAATTCTGAACTACTCTGGGTCCGGCATTCCAGATGCAAGCTGCTTATACTCCTCGAGAACCTCCAGAAGGAACTCAAATCCTTGGATGACTTCCCATATATTCCCATAGGAGCCCAACCATCCGCCCTTCCGCTTGTGCTGCTGACCGTCGCCTTCCAGAGTCTTGACGGCATCCTCGTAGAACCCCAAAAGCGTAGCAAGGTGCTCGAGGACAGCCCAATCATGAAACGTCAGCTGGTTTTCTTCCAACCAAATCCGCGGCACCTTGGCTGATTTCCGAAGATTCTCTGACCTCTTCGATCTGTTATCTTGCTCCCATTGCTGGCGATGCTTCAATATAAGCTGCTCGATGTATGGGCGGAGGGTGATGGCTCGCCTAAGCATATATAGTTGAGAAAGCCATCGCGTATCGTTGTCAATGACTAAATCGAGTGGTTTCCTTGCTCTGATCCTAGCATGAGCTGACATGTCGAATTCAGAACGCTGCATACTCCACAGCGGGTAGGTAAGCTGGTCCGATCTCCTAATATCAACGACTAGATTGTGCAACTTTCCAACGGGTTCCTTACGTCGCCAAAGCGTACGCTCTGCCTCGAATAGGGCTGCTGCACCTGACAACTGCTCCTCAAACGCCTCAACGTTGCAGCCAAAAAAGAAGAGCTTTCGCAGAGAGGTCGATAGTGTCACACACACGATTGTATGGGACAGTCTAGACAGAATGAAAGACTCTTGATTTTCTATCTAAAAGAACGGAATAATACGAAAGTAAATACTTGTTGTAATACTGCTGCCTGGCAGGCAGCAGTATAGCAATGGCTGTTGCCTTGAATGAGCGACTTGACCCTGACAGATAGCGTGGCCAAAACAGCGGCCACGCCTTGTAGCTCCTACAAAGCCAAGCTCGCCACCAATTGCTTCCATTGCTTTATCATTGCTCTCTGCGTTATCCAGTGCGAAGTACCCAATCCGATCCTTGATTCCATACGCATCAAGAACGTCGAGTACCGCAATATTGTGTCCAAATGGCGTGTTCGCAGTTCGGGGACGCCAAGCAATAGCTTGCGCGGCTAACTGTTTTCATCCCGAAAGAAACAAGTAATCCCATAGAGGCTATCTATTCCCTGACTGCTACCCATCAAACGAGACATGAATCTGGCCAGAGGACTGCCGCAAAGCCTCCGCAACCTTACTCTTATGTGTCTCGTAGGCCGAGATTACCTTGCAGCGAATAGTCGGCCTCGCGATGTTCGCGTCGGTTATCTTCACAAGAGGGTTGAGATATTCGAATATTTTCCGTAATCTTCCCTGCTCACAAACGCTAAAAGAGTGATTTTCCTGAATCATCCATTTGTCGGATAATGGTGCCTCTGTTGTCTGACCACGCAACCGTTTTGCTGCCTCGGTGGCAAAAGCAGTCGTCATACTGCAGCCTTCAGGCAGCAGTATTCCGAAAAGTATTAAGGACCTTGAGTTGCCGCAGTGTAGGAAAAAAGACAGAGTTATCAATATACAAGAATTGCAACCGCGTAACGCGACAGATGGCTCTCAATGAGACAGTAACTTTGCCACATAAAGCCGAGACAAGCTGTTGTTGTTATCCAGTTCCTTTAGGTCTGATTAAGTAGGCAGCGTGGTGGCTAACCAAGTTTTAAGGGATGACCAACACAGCAAACCTGTTTCGTAGGCTTGAACTGAAAGCCTAGTTTTGGCCTGGGCATACATATACCCTGGTGATCTTGCTTCCAGCTCATAAGTTCTTCGTGTATTGTTCCAGCCGTCGATTCTTCTGGACGATCGGGGACTCGTGGTGGAATTGCTGTCGTCTGATCCGGGAGAGCATGACGAACGCGCCGTCAGAGAAGGTGTGCACAAATTTCCCCCCAAGCACTCCTACGGACTGCAGAATAGCATTGGCGAGTGAGCCTGGCTTCGTTCTGTTTTACGGTGTGGTCGTCTGCGTTTTATTAACCGGGTAAATATCTATGGTCCTTAAATCATGAGCTCTTTTCCTTTATTTTTTGTATAGAGCGATGGCACCTCTCAAGTTATCCCTGAACGGAAACATCGGTGACAGCAACGACAACGCGTGGCGATACCAAGCTGGGCGGCAAGGAACGGGTGCAATGTCATCACAGGCCATACCAGGCGACTTTGCTTTGCAGGAGGCGGCGTGCAAACTTACTCATACTTAGGTTAGGATATTCTCGTATTCAAAGCAACACAGGACTCCCTTATGGCTCCACATGATAATATGGTCTCCAAATCCATCCATCAAACTGGGCCGTGAATCCCATCAGCGTTGCACGATATAGTGGTCCATGTTTTGAAAGAGGGCTCGGAAGTGTCATTATTTCCGCCTAGTTCAGTTATTCTATGGAAGCCACCCATGCGGTAGAGCTTGCCTTGACAAAAGGCAACAAATGTAAGGGAACGGCCCCACTTTAGGACATAGCTACCTCGAGTCAGCGAAGGAAGCTCTGACTCTCCTTGTGAACAATCGCTTTATCCAAGTCGCACTCGACGCTGTTCGTGCCCTTGTACCGTCACAGCTAGCCTCAACTTCAATAAATGCACATCTCTCCAGCGCTTTCCACCAGAGCTTAGTCCTCGGTTACTTACTACTTTCGACATATCAGGAGTCCAACACAGTCGTTTTGAAGTCAGCCAAGGATGACTATACCATTACAAAGGTCACAGTAAGACGCGGGAAATGCAGTAGCGACGGAATTAGGAGAAACATAAAAACACGGGATATTCATTGGGAACCTCTCTCTTTTTACGGCGCTGCATCACACGAGCTTCACTTGAGTCCAAATGCTCACTTATCATGAGATGATTGCGTGCTTAAAGTAAGGGTGCGTTGAATTTCAACCAAACCATAGCAAGTATCTGGCTTTCTACACTTGTCTTGAATGCAAACATGGCCCTAAACACATGGCGCTCATTCAAAGATCTTTCTTGGCACACTGACCAAGCTTGACCAGATCCCCGAGAGGCGTCTTTCCCCGTGCATTGCATGCCTTCGCATTGTCTATGCATTGATCGAGTTTGAACACAGCACCTTGATCAGCACAGACCTGCAGGATGTCGACACATTCCAGGAATTCCTGTGCTGTTGCGTCAGGTTCGACTTGGGCTGTGCAACGACGTGCTGCAAACATACAGGCATCTTTGTCGATTTCGGGGCGGCCACAGTGTTCCTGAAGCTGTTGTTCCACTGACTTACACGACTGGGAGGGTTTTTCGTTGGCTTGGGGAGTTGGAGATGCAGCTTGGTGTCCAGTTTGGCATTCGACATACCGCTGAATGAAGGGTTAGCACGGGTTATTGAAAGAAACAGAATCCAGACTCACGACGTAAGGGTCGAATTGACCGGCAGCACCTTCACCATAGCCGTTCTTAAGATACAATTTGCACTTGGAACACTAGAATTCTGCCGCATTAGCCTGAACCATTGCTTTTTTTTCTTCAGGTAGGCAGACACCCACCTCTACGTTTTGGCCTTTGCAGTATTGGCCAAGTTGCTTGATATCCAGAATATCGGTTGCCGGCGTATTGCGATTAAATTTCTCTGCGCAAACCCTTATCTCCTCTTCCTCATTTTCCCACTGGTCCTCTGGTGTGTCTTCGCGCCGAAGCTCTTCACCACATATTGCCAGTCCTAGTTTCCCCTTGGGCGTGGCTTTGCATTCGACCTTTGTCTCCTAGCAACGATATTAGAACACAGCTCAAAAACCATAGGAGGCCGAGGAGGCCGAGGAAGATATTACATAGTTGCGGCATATCATATCATATTTTGACGCTCTACTAGCTAGGAAGTTCTTCAACGTCTATTGATCGTCCCATTAGCCCATTGACGAGAAATAATCACGCCATCGCTACAGAATTAAAAGAGTACTTACATCTCCGTCCCGATCTAGGATTCTGTCGGCAACACATTTGAGGATTCTATCTGGGGCGGTATTTTTGTCTCCATTACCCTTATTTTGGGTAGCGTCGTCCATAACACACCAACTTGTGTGCGAGCGGCATGCCTCGGGAGTGGTGTCCAGTAGTTTGCAAATAGTCAGAAAGTCAGTTAACGGCTGTGACCGAGTCGATGATTAGCAAATGCGCAACTTGTCTCGGGGCAATTAGTAACTCCTCCATACGTTTCCAATCATAGGCGAAAAAGTGCAGAGATTGATGTCCTCCTTAGCCCTTTCAAGTTGATTGAAACCTCCGGGTTTCCCTAACTGATGCTGAATGCATTGTTCCGCGGCAGATCGGCAATTCTGATCGACAGTTCTGGCTGAATTGTGTCGTCCGGTCTCAAACCAGTCGCAGATTTCCTCAGCGGTTACCTTGTTATTATATAATGGTCGTGTTAGCCAACGCCTCGAGCGATTTCCCAGCAGCTACTTACATCTCCTTGTCGTGCAGTGATAACTGAGCGGGCGGCAGTCAAGCCGGCGAATGCCGCAGCAATGTTAAGGGACTTCATCTTATCGTGTATCGGGTTGTAGAGCGATTGTTACATGTGCCAAAAAAAAAAGTTGACTATTTAAAGACGCAGAAGATGATGACTATTGAAAGACCATTGAAAGATAGAACAGAGGGAATGTAACGAGGTTGAGCATCGCCTTATATAGAGTCGGGGTCTTAGTTATCCCTGCGATTGATATAATGGCATGATAATTAGGGTCGCGCTGTAGATATTCCAGACAATTCGTATTATAGAGTGATTGGTTGGTGCATAGACCTTGAGCCAAACGTATTCTGGAATTAGGTACATGCTGGCTCACAGGTGTCAGGGTGTAGTAAGATTAAAATTCATGCATTATAGCATTCATCTTCCAGGATATAGAAGTAAGGTAAAATTGACACGACGCGGTCCATAGGCCAAAATTAGGTAGAGAGGCACAAGCGCCCCTCTTATGCGACAACGCAGTGTGGTGCTCGAACATTTTCATGGCGTGAGTACTGCATTAGTATGCAATCCAATGTGGGACATTTCCAGAGTGTGTGACCTGGTTTCAGCTCGGGCCCAGCCTGACACAACTAAAATTTTAATGAACTTTAAGTCATGCAACACCATACACACGACCACTTTTGATTGCTGAGCTATCCACCTTTATGTCGGATAAAACCGCCTCTGTTGATAGAACAAGCAAACTTGGTGTAATTTCCAGTTGTCATAACGTCGGCTGTCAGGAATAAGCTTGGCCCAAACATAGATTCGGACGAAAGGAAATTTTTTCGGTATTAAAAAGATGGTTGCAGACAGAGTCTGCAGCATGATCGCCATACTTGACGCTGTGGAACCAGAATAATACAGACCAAGCCGCTAATAGAGTTTAACTTTATTGTAGGCTGTAGCTTAAGAGTAAATGGCCAAAAATTTGTCGCGTCTGACCAGACTTGCGTATTGTGATATGCTAAAGTGATATCATATGTGCTAAAGTGCTAAAGGAGTATTATATCACTGTGAATATATATCACACTTTTTTTCAGATAAGTGTGATATCACAATTGCTAAAGTGATGTGCACGTCACACAGGCGCGGAATTTACCTTTTCTGGCGGTTGATGAACGAACTCTTGGGATAGAGAACGAATGAGTTGCAAGAACCTTGAGAAGGTTGAATGTATCAGGAGCCGGCTGCGTGAAAGGCATATCCAGAAGACTTTCGATGGCGGCATGGGTATAATTACTGATACTGATACGCGCCTTGACAGCGGCGGTGACGAGCACTCGGACACAGATTACGGCTGGTGGCAATTGAGGTCACGGGTAGATTGGTTCGTGATGTTACAGGTGCTAGAGTGCTAGAGTGATATCAATCGTGCTAAAGTGCTAGAGGAATATTCTAGCACACTTAATTACGTCAGGTGAATATGAATATGAATATCATTTTAGCGCGTGATATCACAATACGCAAGTCTGCGTCTGACGCTCTGTTGTGTGGATACATTATTATATCAATCTATCTGAATATTCCTGTCAGTTTTATAAGGTCACTAGGAACCTCGTTTTGTCATGGGAGAAATTTTTTTCAGCATTTCTGCGCAGTTCTCTCAAAAGCCCCAGAGGCGCGAATACTAGGCCCATCCTCTACGAAGCATGATGATACCACGCTCTCGGCCCGACATTCTCCCCTGTAAAAGCTTTTCGCATCCTGGAACTGTTAGTCGTGTAATAATCTGTATCCGAGAGAGTGGCCTTGTCTATCACGTCAGATCCTACATGGAAATGGGCCTCAGAAGATTGGGTGTGTACGTTTTGAGTACCGTATGATTTATGCCCAGTTACTCCAGAAAATACACACCAAGCTGCTTCTGTTTTTTTTTTTTTCCGTCGCTGTACTCTAACATAATATTTATGCATGAGTTCTGAAAAGAGATTCATTTGTCATCTTCGCTTGGCAAAAGGACCCAGTTTGAATCCAACTGTAACGGGTCAAGCCGCTTGAACTGCGGCGGCGCCGTAAATTGACAATAGTAAGTTGATTCTAGAACTTTCTGTGGAGATGTATAAAGAAAATGTAGGGCGCCTTCATGACTCCCTAGCGTATGTAGACTCCTTTTTTGACCTATCTTGATAGTAAACAGCTTAAGGACTGGTTGGAATCAACTCGCTAGAGGCCTTCACATCGGTCCTGTGGTCCAATCCGTCGAATAAAACTGCCTCTGTTGATAGAACAAGCAAACTTGGTGTAACTTCCAGCTGTCATAGCGCCGGTTGCCATGAGTAAACTTAGCCGAAAAAACAGACTCGGACGAAACGAAGTTTTTCGACATTTAGAAGATAGCGGCAGACGAAGTCTGCAGCAAAAAAATTAAAAAAAATTCATAATGATTTTGTGAAGAGGCTTAATTAGTCATTAATGTCACGTTATGAGACACATTGTTAATTAAGCTCCTCTCGTGCAAAAAGAATTGATTGTTATTCTTACTGTCTGTATCCCTCAGAAGGGTTCACGTCAGTTATCTCAAGTCTAAAAGACTTCCCCGCGGGTGTCTAGCCAGGCTTCTCAAACTGCTGATATCGAGAATTCTATAACATCTAGCAATTGCATTAAGTCTGCTTGTTCAACTAACAGTGGCAACCTTATCCGACAAATAGATTGGATTCGACGATTACGTGGAAACCGACGGGCGCCTAAGAGGAATTAATGTGGCTAATAAAGCTCATTTCTGGAACGATCCAATTAGATATATTCACAACTAGCTTGACGATTACCAAGGGGGAGTATCTAAAAGCTGAAGAAGATAGAAAATTGTTGCTTGAATCAGTATTGCCATTTGGGTGGCCGGTGGTGCACTCGGTAGTGGAGTACGTTATTTAAAAGCTGAAGAAGTAACAGAAAACCGAACAGAGAAAGCAGAGCTCTTGAGATCGCCAGTAACCTGACTTGTCGATGGGGCCTCTACTATGCAAGCCGAAGGAGGAGGCGGAAGCGCATACAGAGCCACCTGCGGGCGTAGCCGGTTTCAAGAACAAGTACTAGATGTCATAACATCATAGACACCAGAGGCTTAGAAAGCTCATCGGCCTACTGATTTATCAGAGAGGCTGAGGGACCTATTTCAACGAAGGTAAAAGACATAAATCCCCTAGTTACCCAGGGTAGAAGGGTAATGAGTAGATCAACAAAATTGGCCGTGTGCCATTGAACATAGCTAGCAAGAAGTCTCATACCGCGACATATGTGATCACTCAATTGGCTTTCGGCACTCCTTTATGTCGTCCTCTTTGTACAGTAGAAATTGGGCACTCCTTTATGTCGTCCTCTTTTTACAGTAGAAACTGAGACTGTTGCATATTAAATGCCAGGTTGCAAAACAAAAGGATAATATGCCAGGTTGCAGAACAAAAGCATAATCTCCATTTCTCCATTGTACCAACAATCTGGAAATTCCACTGTCACTGAAGGGAGCCAAATCCCAGTCCCTGGAATCTGGAATTTCCACTGTCACTGAACGGAGCCGAAACACGATCCCCGTCATACCGAACCCGCTGCCTCATCAATCAGACTGGCAATAGCTTTAGGCTGCGAAGAAGGAGACAAATGGCCAGCATCCAAATATATCACCTTCTTAGCCCTCATTCTCAGTGACATAAACTTTTGGGCGTCTGGTGCTATACATCTATCATCCGTCGACATTTGATACCATGACGGCTTGGCCCTCCAGGCTGGTTCAGTAACACGATCGCCGAATACACTAGCCACTGGAGCCTTCTGCGACACTGCCATCACCAACGCCTTATGCTTTGGCAAGTCCTGGCAGAGTGTCTCGTGGAACTGAGGCATCTTCATCCACAAATACCCGTCACTATCAGTTGACAGACAGTCCTCTGTGGTTGCAACGGCCGAGTACTGGGCAGATATACTAGCCAGGCTTTCGCTTTTGTCTGGAGCAAAGGCAGCGATGAATACTAGGCCAACAACGCTGGGGAGGTTTCCTGCCTCAGTGATAACAGCTCCGCCGTATGAATGGCCCACGAGAATCACATCACCTTGCACTTGCCTTACGGCTTTACGCACGCGATCAGCATCCTCTGCAAGAGAAGTCTACAGTATATCGACAGCCTGTTGTTCATAACCCTTGGCATTGAGTAGAAGGATAACGGCGGCCCAATGTGCGGCGTTGGCTCAAAAGCCGTGAACGAGGATGATTGTTGGCTTGCTCATAATGTTGGAGTTAAAGACTGATGAAGTTTGTGTTGGCAAAAGAAATTGGAATAAAGGTAATGCGGATGGCGGACAGTCGTTCGTTGGGTTGCATATCTACTGCCTTTATATTGAGCTCAAGAAGAGCAAGGATATGTATGAATAGGTACATTTTCCTCTAACTCCGTAAGACGCATCAGCGATCAACAGTTGTCGTGAGAATAATGCGCAGCAAGTCCACACTACTAAAATTGGTTTGCACAAGCAGTTAACCTGCTTTAAGATCCTTACGAACTTTAAGTCCGACACGCAGTTCAGTTTTCGGATCAGCTCGCGACATTTACACATTTTATTGTTTTTTGTCATGTCGCTGACCTTAGTTGGCAAAATTATGCAGTGTGAGCAGTGTTTTCAGACGAGCTCAGGGGCGTTTCCTATTCGTTCTCGTTGCGACTAGCATTACCCTTCTGAGCTCCGGTGTCCCGATGTCTTGTCCTGATGTCCCGATGTCCCGATGTCCCGATATCATGTGCCCCGTCCTCGTGTGCCGCGACTATGACGTCATAGGCGGCCATGACTCTGAGGCCACGGGTAAATCCCGAGACATCACTACGCCAGTGACGCCCCATCCTATTGGTACATGTGGGCCTGTCACACAGCACGGTCGTCTTTGCAGGTTGGACAAAAATGAGAGACTCTCGATTTCCTGGTTAAAGAGCGAGATGATACCAGGACGTAGTATTTCTTTCAGATGGTTGGGGAGTAACATGAAAAGGACCCCAATTCTTCAAGTTAAACAAAAAGAGGACAGACAACAATACACCACAATTTTTTGTCTCCATAATAGTGCCACCGTATTTCTGACAATAGTTTGGAAGGGTGAAGTTTGGGTGGGGCCCTTGCAGAGGGCAAGAAACGAGGCTGCATGGCGGCGAGTGGATTTGTCGTGGTGGCCCGTGAAGTTTGTTATGGTGGCTAGAGTCTAGCTCCGCGCGCAGATATTGGCTGTATCTTGCATAAGTGTCAGACAGTGGCATGTGGCGCTTCGTCACAGAACAAAAGTCAATTCAGTACTTAGATGAGGAACCTATTCATTGTTAGAGGGTAAAATAAACTAATATAATAAATAACTGAAGTAACTTCGTAACATGGACTTCCTTGGTGTCATAACAGTCCCACTGTCTTTCCGACCATAAATTGTCGGTG